CACTATAGTTTTTCAAGAGATACGAATAATTTTCTACCATTGCTACAAAAGGGGAACTTAAATGTCTAAGGGAGGTACTTGGTGGTCGTTCCATATTTTTCAAGACACCCTGTAGCCCACTGAGTTTCTCACCGGATCTTCTCAGTGGGTCGTGTTTCCGATCCGGTGGTAGATTCTGCGAAGCACTGCTCTTGCTAGGGTCAGTGTTAGAAACACTCCCGGTTTGAGCCCCGTGAGCTCACCTACACGTCAAGGAGACGCTGAAATAGCCTCTCAAGGCTATCAGCATAGGTAGGGAAAAAAGACACCCAAAAATTACTTTCGGAAACTAACTTAAATGGAACTAGTTTAAGCATGAAAATAAATTGTATACTTACGTATAAATGAAGACATTGAAGCAAAAGCAAAAGTTTTGAGAGCTTACGCTCAAGTTATCAACATTCGTCAGACATGCAAACTTCGTGCCTGCACGAAACTTTTTAAAAGAATTGTTAAGCTTTTGCGTAAGTTGTAAGCCTAATTTAGATCTTATCCGGATTAATGTGTTGTCTGTCTTTGAAAATTGGCAAAATCGTGTATTTCGCAAACTATAGAGCATTTAAGAATATTCGGTAAGTTAATTACTGTAGGTACTTCAATTATCACTTTCTGGTATTTTTGACGTTTCGGTGTGAGATGCCGCAGAAAACAATCTTGGGCATCACGCCAACATGCAGTTACTATAGCAGTACACTAACGTGTTCAATTTTAATATGATTTTAATGATATTGCGTATTTATTCAATATGTTGTGTTTTATTCTAATTCTGAATTGTTCAATGTTTAATATTTTAAATTTTATCTTAAATCTATCAATCGATTTTCCAATCCAATCCAATCTAAATTTCCAATCTTATCTTTAATCTTTCAATCCACTTCATTTAATTAATAAATGCAGTGTAACGAATCCCTCAACCTTTTTTGAAGTCGACTCTCAATTCATTGGTCCATTATGTGTATTATATTTCCCTACTTTCAATTCTAATACTGTGTTTAAAATTTCGAATTCATACTTTAGCAAACAAATCTTAGCACAGATAGGTCAAAGATATGTCGATTGAATTCAAACAATCGTTTCTATTATAATTTAGATAGGTGAATGACCTGGTGTATTGAGAAGCAGATTTTACTATTATAGTTTTAATAATTTACAATATTGAGACTACGAAAGATTATTTTTTTAATTAAAAATTCAGAAGATACATCGGAGGTATTGAAATACTTATATAAAGTATGAAAGTGTTTGTATGTTTATATTTAAAATAATAAAAACAGTAAAAACATTTTTATGCAAAACTCCAGAGAATTAATAAGATTTAATAAATTGGGCATATCACAAGAAATAAATGGTCTAGACAAAAAACACAACTACGACCGAATCAGGAAACAGTGGAACATTAATTATTCCAAAAATGGTTTTGGAATGCTGATTTATGCTATGGACAAAGTTTTATAAAACTTTTTCGGAATTAATTTATAGACGCAGTTTAAAATTTAAATGAATTTAATCCAGTCTTTTTCAATATTTTCGAAAAGATTAAAAATGTAGCCTGGGTAATTAATAAATACTAGTGGTCCGCCGGTAGTCGAAATTCGACTATAATTAATTGAAATTATAAGTTTGAATAATATTATGGTTCTATTGTCAAAGACTATTTATTATACTTCTACAATCACAGATTTCGCCAAGACTACACTTTAGACAAATATTAACAAAGACAAAGAATATTTAATCTATTCTCAAATTGACCATAGACTTTATGCAATAAGAAAAATTTGACAATAAACAAATAGTATGCATGCGTGTGTGTGTCAAATACATGGTATTGTGTGAATGTTTTCTTTATTCATTTAATGTATCTTTTACGCATTGTTTTAAAAAAATATTAGCATTGTGCACTTCTTCTATATATAAACTATGAGAGTGGAAAATTTCATACTCCTCCGTTCGCGCAATTTTCGTAAAAAGGGGTACAAAGTTTTTGCTTCACGTATTAATATATAGATATCCGTTAGTAAGCTAGAAATTTTTAAAAAGGGGGNAATGTTTTCTTTATTCATTTAATGTATCTTTTACGCATTGTTTTAAAAAAATATTAGCATTGTGCACTTCTTCTATATATAAACTATGAGAGTGGAAAATTTCATACTCCTCCGTTCGCGCAATTTTCGTAAAAAGGGGTACAAAGTTTTTGCTTCACGTATTAATATATAGATATCCGTTAGTAAGCTAGAAATTTTTAAAAAGGGGGAGCATACATTATTTTTTCATAATCGAATCTATTGACTGTGTCACTGGTATTTTTAAATACAGTGTCATTTAAATAAAACTTGCCACAGTTTTCATATATATCTCGCCGTATTCTTATGAAGAAAAGTGCACTTCTACTGTTTTTGACGGTATACACGAGCATACGACCTACCTGACGGTGGGTCACCGTCATTTATGGACAGCAACAATCCCAGGAGCAGGAGATGCCACTGTCTTTTTATATTTTATTAACTTGTATTTGTTTTTAATAGTAGTACCTTTGGAACCGTATTTAACATATTATATTATTATAATATATTAAACATAGCATTTTTCCAGACCATCAACATTTGAGATATTGGATAATAGCATTAAAATATTTGATAGGTACTATAACATGATGATTATAGCTAGTAACATGAAATTAGATTAATAATAATAACACTTTATTTAACACCATATGTACAGAGTGAGCAAATAAAACAAATAATAGTCGGTGACATAAATTGGCGGCCTTATCGCTGAAAGCGATCTCTTCCAGGCAACCTTGCAGGGAGAGGAATAAGTGGACTGGACGGTGCTATATCATAATAAACTTACATAAAAATATATACATAAATACACATGTGAAAAATAAATAAATAAATAACAATTAACATTGAAAACGTAAATTCATACGTTTATATTTGGGAAACGATTGATCAAATACGTCATTGCCCAACGGTGAAATTCTTTTAAAAATCAATGAGCTATTGTATTAGCACGACGCCCCTTTAAATTTCAAATGACGAAAATGAAGTTATTTCATCAATACGGAATACTGAGTTATTCGGAATATAACTATTTCTTCTTTAGATAAATGTTGGTGAAAGAGGAAAAACGTTTTAATACTTGACAATCAAACGCAACTTTACTTATAGACAAAAAGTCAATTGTTAATGACAAATAAAAGAGTACATCATCCTTATCGTAGTTAGTGTTTTCTGGAGCATGCCGCGTCAGAAATACTGTTCTTCACCCAGAGATTAAGTTTAAGGTTAAGTTTCGATAGGATTCAACGCCTACTACAACGCATCGACTCGCACAACTTTCTTTCACTGCTGATACAAGACCATGGAACCCTTAGCTAAATAAAGCTAAAATAAAATAAGTTTGGAGCCATGCAAAATTTTTTGGAAATATACTGCTACTATGGACAGTAATATTTCGAGGTCGTTTATTCACATCTTTTAAATGCCTTGTTGTTATTGGTAAATTTTCTCTGATTTACTCTGTTTTATATTGCTTGCTGAGGCAACAGGATTTTTTTATTATTGATACGATTTGGTCACATCCTAAAATCGATTATTAATTTGATGATTAAAAACCGAAATCGATACAAATCGGATATTTGATATTGATGCGCTTATCTATATATATAAATAAATAACCGTTAGTTGTGTGGATAATACTTATAAATTAATCGCATAATGATGCGATTCAAAATATCGTTAGAATGAAAAATTGCCAATAAAAATCTTAATATAGATTAAGATGTAAACTGTTTGCGTGGGTTCGAATACACAATCAGCGCTGCAAACGATATTATGTACGAGTATAAAGTTTCATCCGTGCTTAATTAGTACTAGTAATTGAAAGCATCACGTAGGATGTCTTATCAAAATTATTAACGAGAAAATGTCACGAAATGTCATTATACAGCTCAAAAGTGTCTAAACTTATGTACTGCAACCTTTTGGGGATGTATTAAATTTAAGATATTTAAATTTAGTCAGTTTCTTTAGAGTAACTTAAGGAATATAAGTTCCTATTATCAATTGTAGGTCTGGTCTATTTAGTCTGTGGCTTGGTCATCAGTTTTAATGTTGTAGAGGTACCCACAAAATATCGTCGTTGTCAAATCAAAATCTGCTTACTATGTGCACTTTGAGATTTTTACTTTTTGATCTTTTCGTATAGTTCACAGCCCTATCTAACGTATAAAAAAACTGTTATGTGTCTATAGCTTTAATATTTATCTATAGCTTTCATTTGATATAGTTCTTAAAATTCACTTTTATATAAAATTTTATACGAAAATGTTTTTACTCGTTAATTCAAAATAGAGTTTTTGCATATAGCAGATTTTGATTTGACAGCGACGATATTTTATTGGTCAAGTCAAATTCACATCACACTTATAGTTAGGTAGCGAACTTTCTAGACATTATTTTACTTTGAGATATGAGTTACGGCTCTCCCACACTTTAAACCATCGCAAATACGCATGGTGGTACAGGCTCATAGGACCCACTACTACAAGTAATTTGTAAATTTTAGCCATATAACTGCCGTCCTACATTTTAAACTGGAACAAATAATCGTTTCGCGGCAGAATTGGGCGGAGTTGTACTTACTTGTACCTACTATATTCCGATGAATTATTAATCAAAAGCTTTTTTACTGGTGGTAGAACCTTTTGTGAGTCCGCGCGGGTAGATACCACCACCCTGCCTATTTCTGCCGTAAAGCAGTAATGCGTTTCGGTTTGAAGGGTGGGGCAGCTGTTGTAACTATATTTTGAGACCTTAGAACTCATATCTTAAGGTGGGTGGCGCATTTACATCGTAGATATCTATGGGTTCCAGTAACCACTTAACACCAGGTGGGCTGTGAGCTCGTCCACCCATCTAAGTACTAAAAAAAAAAACTAATATCACAAATTAGCTTACCATGTGAAGTGAGACGCGCATTGATGCGTGCGGTGATAGCGCGGGCCACTTCGGTCGCGTCCGGAGAGCGCTGCTGGTGCAACCTGAGCCGTTCGAAGAGGCAATCCGTCGCTGCATCGTCCGCCATACGAAAAGCTGTACACATAAAACAAGACTGCAGACTGAACTTCTTTGATTAAAAAAAAAAAACGAATAATGTACCTAAATCTGTGATTAAAACGTAGTTAGTTTTTAATCATGGCAACAACAACTTCGAAAATATTGTATATATTCGAAAAATCGTATACGGTACAATACAATACGTATTGTTAGTATTTATTCATATATATATTATAGATTATATTGAATAACATTGCTGCTAGATTTTCAGACGGTTTAGTTAATTATAGTATCATAAATGTGTTTAATTATTGCGATATTAAAAAGTGATTTATTTGGTAATGGAGAAACTTCTCACGTTTCTTTTATATGACAATTTGCAAAGTTTCGAATACTAAACAGTTTTTCGTTATGGACTACCACAAATAGGTGTGTTTTATGTATATTCGGATTTAAATATTCGTCGTCAATAGTAATTCAATTTGCCGAGTAATGTATATTAGTGGGTAGATAATATACATATTAACAGCGGATGTTACTAATTCATTTTATTTGTTTTGTGTTTGCGTCCTGCTTAGTTATATCATCAAGCAATATGCGCTCCGGTTTATCAGAGCATAGCTATTATTTAAATACGGCCCATCTACGTCAGCATTTATAAAGCCATCATATGACGATAAAGAAAAAATACCAGCACTATTTTTAATAGTATTTAGTATTACATTTGTAGCATCCTTAGATGCTCAAAAAATTGTGTATTCATATGTACAATGTATCTATGTAAATCGTATTGTAATCAATTATACTGTTTTATAGTTTAGAATTAGTTCGTTATTCTCAAAGGGATCCTCTTCATGAATGTTTTGTAAACAACAAAAAACCCAACACGTCATCATTATGACATGTAATTTTTTAAGCACGATACCTAGTATAGAGCACTACGAATGTGAATAAACAGTGTCTCTGTCGAATACAAAATGTATTTAATAAAACGTACTTGAATGTGATGTCTTCTATGTCGTATGTGCGATGTTATATGTTGGTAAATAAACCAGTGTGTGTTGGGGAGCGTTAGAGCGCGTGGTATGCGCCGAATGGCTGCCAGTGACCGACTGATTTTCCTCGCCCGTGCCGATGTGAAAAGCGGAGTTGCGCGGCGCGGGCTGACTGGCGCACGCTCGGGAAATGTGTTTCCCTTTTAGTTTATGAGCGCACATTATAATTTTACGATTTCGTTTGACCGTCGGACGATAACTAAGATTTTAATTTAAACGATGATAGTAGTACGACTACCGGTTTATTCTAACAATGAACGTATCGCATCTGTCGGACAAAACATATTCTGTTATGGTCTTGTTTATTTTTCATAATATGTAGGATATTTTTCTGGTTATTATTTTAATATAACCATCTGATAGTAAAATCAACCATCTGATGTTAAAATAATGTTTGCGTCCGTAAAATAGTGTGAGACTCCCGTTGTATTCCAAACTAGACTGTACTGTGGTTTGGATCTATCCAACACGGGTGAAATAATGTAACCCACAATGAGGGAATAACAAACACTACATAGTATAATCGAAGCTTAAAAAAAGTGTGTAAGATCAAAATGACGTTCAACCTAGTTGAAGGTCGAACGCAATATGAATTTACACGGACACCATTAATGTGCTTATTTCTGTCACAAAGCTTCCATACAAAAAAACCAGCTTTACTCGTGTTGTAGAATATATCAGCCATGTCAACAACGTACCACCGAGTGATCCATTAGCTTATTTGCCAATCCAAACCAATTAATTTTGAAATAACAGCACAATTAGATGTACAAACAACAATATCCAGTTGTGATCCAACTGCTAGTGTTCAAAAATACACACAGATGTTTCTTAACTACGAACACTTCCGATTATTTTCGTGGAATTTAATAATTTCGTGGAAATCGTACATAATTATTCCTTAGATACTNCGAGTGATCCATTAGCTTATTTGCCAATCCAAACCAATTAATTTTGAAATAACAGCACAATTAGATGTACAAACAACAATATCCAGTTGTGATCCAACTGCTAGTGTTCAAAAATACACACAGATGTTTCTTAACTACGAACACTTCCGATTATTTTCGTGGAATTTAATAATTTCGTGGAAATCGTACATAATTATTCCTTAGATACTGTTGTAACCTATTTTGTGCTAATCTATAATGCAAAGGTCAATTTTATTAAATTATATTGGCACTGAAGCAAGCAGCTTAAATGGAATGAATAACTAGAAGTTTAGAGTGCAGTGGAATTTAGGGTCGATCTTTTAAATAAAAAATATCGATAAATTTGAATGGTAATGGCTTAAAAGACAATCTAACAAGTTCCTTTCATATAATATTGAATTTAAATTACACAATTCACCTCAGACACTTACGTTTTTTCCTAGTTTTCTTTATGTCGTTTGTTTGGGCCGATGAATCAGCTGCGGCATACGAATAAAAAAAATTAAAAACAAATAACTATGTATCTATGTATTTGGAATATGACTGAAGTTCGTTTTCCCACCTGACATAATATTGTATATCAAATTTGATTCTGCCTTTTTTTATCGTAACACTTTTGATTTTCTGAAACACATTTCATCATAGATTTTACAATTATTATTCAACATTTAACACTGAAACTTGAAACAATTTTTGACACGTCTCTCCAATCATCCACAGTATTTCGACACTGTCATTCATGCTAAATGATACCTCTATGCTCCAGGCTTTTTGCTTATAAAACTTTTCATGAATCTATCAAACCTCATTGTGTTTCAAGGATTCTTCAACTGTTAAAAGTCGTTAAATTAGTTATCATCTACATGCTGCGATATTTTTAAGTTTTCTTGCTTTCTTTACTTTTTCTTACTCCTTTTAAGTAATAATTAATGAGCGATATTTATAGGGTTTAATTTCATAACTTTTGCATATGTTACGGTTTTCTTTAACAAGGATGCATCACATTCCTAAATATAATCAGAGTTTCCAAAATATTTTAGGAGTTTTTTAAATTTTTAGTGTCATTGAATTTTTTTTTGTTTTAAAATTTATTAGGTTAGAAATAGCTGTACCAAATAAAAACATTTACGTAAAAGAACTATTAATTACATCTACGAATGGCGAAAACCGAACAAGATATTAAACATAGTTGTCAACCCTAGTTATCCTTCAGTTAATACACACATTTGAGTCCATGGCATATTAGCATTGAGTCTTCAAATCTATGATCTGTTTTGCAATACCGATAGAATTAATGTTATCATGATTACATCTAAATTTTATTGATACTGTTACTAATGGTTATGTAAATGTCAAATTCACCGCTATTGCATTCGAAGGATTGAAAAAATATACCACAGATATATAGTGTGGATGATTTAAAATCACTCAACAATTATAGTTACGGAAGGTGTGTTATTATTTTTGGAATTTAAACATATTATACATATATATATAATTAAATTAGGAAACAACTACATTACATTACAATGATTACATTACCGAGTGTGTTAATGCTAGTTATGTACTGTAGTATTCAGTACATGTCTACACGTGTCTACGTAATATTTTGTTATATAACACTTAGTTATGAATTTTGTAATCAAATGAGCATAGTTCTCTCTAAAATTTCACCAAAATGACCAGTACAGTGCAGCCTGTAGCTAAGTATTCCTGGGATTTTCGGCAGATCCTCGTTCCATCAACTAATACAACATCTTAAGGTGGCACACAGATATTTTCCCAGTTTGAAGTCGACGTGGCCTAAAGGAGATGACGTCCGGTACATTCGTATCTAGCGAGGGCAACGGTGTTAGAATGCCGCTGGCGGGTACAAATTTTTCTAATGAAATACGTACTTATCAAATGTTCACGATTGACTTCCACGGTGTAGGAATAACATCGTGTAATAAAAATCAAACTTGTAAAATTATAATTTGCGTAATTACTGGTGGTAGGACCTCTTGTGAGTCTGCACGAGTAAGTACCACCACACTGCCTCTTTCTGCCGTGAAACAGTAATGCGTTTCGGTTTGAAGCGTGGGGCAGCCCTTGTAACCATACTGAGAACTTAGAATTTGTATCTCAAGGTGGGTGGCGCATTTACATTGTAGATGTCTATTGGCTTCGGTAACAACTTAATACGAGGTGGGCTGTGAGCTCGTCCACTCAACTAAGCAATAAAAAAAGTTATTTTCTTTAGTCGCAATGTTACTTACCAGATTAAGAGTATATCATCCTAGTATAGTCACCCTAGTCCTCCTGCAAATCATTTCACGCAGTGGGATCGAAAAAGAGCTAGTGTGTTTTAAAAAATATTTTAATTGTTAGATAGCCTTTATATTTATTCAATAACATAAAATAACTGACGAAATTTTGTTTGTCCAGTGATCATGTTTAGAAAACAAATTAATCATTGTGTATCTAATGTTATTCTACTACAGCACCTTTATAAGAGCTAAGCGGACAACTTATTTATTTATTTAATGTCTTTGTCTAGGTGTTTAACTGTATAAACAAGATTTCAAATATTTTTGTCACAGATTATCCAAAGTATTTGATAAAATTATCATGTTTAGTTTTCAAATTTACATTATGAGTGCGCTTTTTGCCATAAAATTGAGTTATGCTGTTTCGACTCCAAACAAGAAATTAATCAATCAAAGGGTACGGTATTATGAAGTCTCAAGTTTACTGGTGGTAGGACCACTTGTGAGTCCGCACGGGTAGGTACCACCGCCCCGCCTGTTTCTGCCGTGAAGTAGTAATGCGTTTCGGTTTGAAGGGTGGGGTAGCCGTTGTGACTATACTGAGACCTTAGAACTATATCTCAAGGTGTGTGGCGCATTTACGTTGTAGATGTCTATGGGCTCCAGTAACCACTTAACACCAGGTGGGCTGTGAGCTCGTCCACACATCTAAGCAATAAATAAAAAAAAAATGAAGTAATGTGATATTAATTTCGATGATGTAACATCGATGTTTTAAAACTATATTTATTATCTAATTAAAACTATATTTATGTATCACCACAATTCCAATATTTGCGATGAATTCTGTGTTCCAATTTGACGGTTGCGACAGTGGTTATATAACGTAACTTTAGCTTCATTCCTCAAGGCTTGATTTTGCTACCATCACGTATCATTTTGATGCGAGGAATCTGGCCTTGTTGTACAACGTATCCGATAAACATTTAACAAATTATGACAATAAGAAAGTTTTCAATTTTGTTTCTATAAATAAGCAATAATATAAATGAGACAATTTTATTAAATCCCAGCATTTGCATGCAATAAAATCCAATGGTAGAAACATACAGGGAAGAAAATTGAAATTAGTGAAATCCATAGATAACACCAATGGGAATGTTCACCTTTAGAGATAAGAGCGTAGTCTCAACTACATTTGAATAACTGCTATATCAATCAGATAGCAATATAATATGATATTATTTCTTAAGTTTACAGTTGTTGTAGTAGCACGTTTGATTTCAGAATGCAATAGAACACAGCATGGGACATTCCTTCAACCAACACTTTCAATTGATTTTTAATAATATAGAGAGTAATAAAAACTTTGAAAATTTACAACCGAGAGTCAAGCGGCAGGTCAGTTCGGGTGCAGGTATGAAAAATGTTGCAAACCTAAATATATTTTTTTAACTGTAACTGTAATTGATCAGACTTATTATACTTGATACAAGATATCCTTAATATAGTTCGAACGGTGTAGCACGAGAACAGTTCCTGGCGACAAAATATTGAATTGTAATTGACTAAAACTTAATTTTTAATAGCCCCCAAAAAAATATCTTGTTAACTTTAAGTTGTGTTAAATTTGATTGCCCTTTAAGTTCAATGTCTGAGGCGCGCCCTTGTCTAGCCTTCTCCACTGCTCCATAAATATTGATCCCAGTCTGCTTTATTAGAGACATAAAAGAGGCATAAAGGTCAATTAAATGGATTTTAAAATATCGTATTTTTTGTTGTTTTTTCAGGGAAATCAATTACTCGTAGATTTGATTAACCTCGATATCGCCCGTATAGAATTCAATAGTTAACATCCAGTTATGATATGAGTCGAAACTCAGTACGAATTCCGACGTAACCCCTAGTCCGGTCGAAGAAAATATTATTGTTTGTTTACATAAGTTGCAAATTCAATACGGGGTTGAATTATTGTATTCATGCTAAATAATATGTATCTATCTTCATTAGTCAATATTTTGTTGTTGTTTCTCTAGATGGGCAGACAAGCTAACCATCGGTTAAATTGTTGTTTTTTATTGCTCTTGTATGCAGACTAGCATACGGCCCACATGATGGTGAGTGGTTACCGTCGTTCATGGACGTCGGCAATGCCAGGGGCAGAGTCAAGCCGCTGCCTACCGTTAAGTCCTCTCCACAAGTCTCGTTTGAAGAAGGACAGCACCCGAATATATCACAACATGAATGCAACCCACACTCGCGACATACAATCGAAATCTCTTTTTTTTTATTGCTTAGGCTGGCGGATGAGCTCACACCCCACCTGGTGTTAGGTGGTTACTGGACTCTACAACGTAAATGCGCCATCCACCTTGAGATATAAGTTCTAAGGTATATGTAGGTACAACGGCTGCCCCACCCTTCAAATCGAAACGTATTATTGCTTCACGGCAGAAATAGGCAGGGTGGTGGTACCTACCCGCACGGACTCACAAGAGGTCCTACCAACAGTAAAATCTCAATTGTATTGAGTCGCACACTTAAAGCTGAAACATTTGACTACTTTACTGTAAAAATAGAAACAGTGCTGAAATCAAGCTGTACTGTTTCAAAATATGTCCTAACACGAATTTAATGCATCTATGTAAGGTTGATAATGCTGTACCTACTTAATTGTGTCAATTTTAGCCAAAAAAGGAAATCTTAATATATTACATTTTTAATGATTATTTTAAGGTAAATTCATTGAAGCAGCGAAGATGCCACAAATCAAGGTATTCCGACTGTTCCTGCAGATGTTTAAGAATGGATGGGCCGATTCGTACGTCGGTGGAACCGGGCCATTGGATCCGCGAATCATCCGGCCGGTTCTCTATCTATTCAAGGATAAGATTATACAATTCTTTATGCCCGAACCTGGAGTAGAACATCAGAAAAAATCGCATTAGTTCATACATATTATCATAGCTTTGTATATTTATAAACAGTATTTAAATTAAAATCTTGAGCTATTTCTAAGATATCCCTTTTAAGCTAAGAGCTATGTATAAAATTATATTATGTTGGATTCATTTGATATTAGCTGGATGAAGCTAATATATTTAAATATTGAGCCATTTCCTTTAACTGTGTTAAGCGGCTAACGATGCGCTATTTTTAAAATAATATTATGTTGGATTCGTTTGATATTAGCTTAAGCTAATATATTTAAATAAAATATATGTACATATATAAAAACTTATTTTTAGTTTAAGGCCAATACTTATTATTAACTAATTTGCTTACTATTCTCGTTTTCTACGCATACCCATTTTACTGGTGGTGGAGCATCTTGTGAGCCGCCCTGCATATTACGGTCGTGTCTGTCTAGGTATATTCTGTTTATTCTGCAGTACGTTAGTTTTAATGTCGAATGAATTATTATTGTAAATTGCTTATAATTCTTCCCTTCGGTTTTCACGAGTTGTGCATATATAATTAGTACTATCTTAATTATGTTTTTATGCACATCTAAGATTCTAAGTCGTACATAAGATTATAAAGTTTTATATTAAATCTTCTAGAAATAAATCTTTTAGATTACGGCTTGTGATGTCCGCACGAAAACTGGGAAGAAAACGAAACGACGGAAATTGTAAAATTTACAAAACAAATGAGAGTTCTAGCTATAAAAGCGTTTTATAATTAAATTTACAAGTTCAATGAAAAAAAAAGGAATGCGTTTTTTTTATTAGCGCAGATAGCGTGACTGTTATCTTATTCTACAAACACCGCAACATTAATGTCGCAGCCCAGCTGAAAACTTGACATCATTCTCAATTGCCTAGAAACAAGTAAATATAGTTTAAAATCTAAAATAGCTTAAATACCTAGACCAAAAATATTAAAAGAATATTATTTTTTTTCGCCTTGATGTTCCTGACATCAGGCAATAGTTATAAAATTATTGTATTGACCAGTTGAAATTGGTTGGAAATACTTTGAAAGATTCGATAACTAGATACGGGACAAACTAATGAATAAGTGCTAAAAATAGTACATGAAATGGGTATTTTTTGGTAGAAGCAATTAGAGCAGTAATACTAATCTGTTTGATTAAAAACATACTCTACCGCGAAGAATTAAGTGCGTGGAAAAACGTGTAATATTTCTGGTTTAATTAACTGGTCTGACTTCAGCAAAATACTATCGACGGATTATATATATACGAAAAACTACTTATAGCATACACAGTAATTTGTAAATGATTTGTAAGTGTTAGGAGGTGTGTTTGTAATGTTTTCTTGTTATTTCCATGGGAAAATTCTATACAATTAGCAATAATCACATTCCCTTTCCAGCTTTCATTCGTCTAAATATATTTTATAAAAGTCTACGTGTGTTTGTTCTCTATGGACTCCGAAACGGCTTTATCGACTTCGATGGTATTTTCAGAAAATATTTTGTTTGACCTAGCCAGTGATCCTGTGTTTGATAGTGATCGGATCAAAGTCAAATCAAATAATGATAAAAAAGCGGGCCGGGTTTGAATAGTAATGTATAATTCTAATTATTTTTAAGGAAGTTACCAATTTTCTTGATTTTACAGCATGCAATACCTTACGAACAGTGCGTTGATCTAAATTAACTTAAATCACAAGTAATATAAATTAATTTAATATAAATAATTATTATAAATAAAGCATTGGTAGAAAAAAACGTTAAGGCTTATAAATAAAATTACATGTCTACTCAGTTGTATGTTAATTTAAAAACCCGTTCATTTTATGCCGGTGTCCATAACTAGTTTTCATGCTATTTATTTTGATACGTCAATTCGTCAACACATGTGTGTGTTGTAGGTATTTACTCGTAGAAGAGCAGATGAAAGTATCGTGCTTGTTTTCGAATGCTTATAAGAGCAGTTTTGGTGTTCTTGGCTATAAAAAAACTAGAAAAGTACAATTGTTATTTATTGAGAAATCGTTTACCATCTTCACCAGCAGCCTCTTTCAGTCCACTGTTAGACATAGGCCTCTCCCAAGGCAAGTGAGAAAATTGGACATGTACACATTTGAAAATTTGAAACTGTTAGAGCTGTTGTCGATTTCATTGATATAAAAACTTTTAAAAGCTAAATTCGTTTGATTTAGAAGTTTACAGATCGGATATTGCGGATCAGAATTTATTTAGCTCTTCTTGTTTCTGTAGAATAGAGCAATAAAGAAAAAGAGGCCTAAGCCTAAGTCTAAGTAGTGTCTTCAACAGATTGTTTGCAGACATAATGTTTCCCTAAATTGCATCGATCGGGTCATGGCCATACTAGAATATTTACAACGGCAGTATTCGCTTCATTAGTATGTGTTACAGTTACTAAAATGGCATAACAAAAACACAGCATGAATTGCAATAAAACTTTGTGTGTTATTTTTTAGGCAAACACAACGACCGATGTGTTCAGATAAGTTGTGTAATTGAATCGGAGCGGAGCAATGCATTTTTGCATACAAAACACGAGTCACATCTAGTTGCCTTTCTTCTTTGATCGTGGGCGGGTATTATACGGTATAAAAGCGAGTAGTCCGAAGATAACCGTTTATTTAAGATCTCTACGGTCGAACTGTCATGAAGGTACGGATCATGGATTGTGACAGTGATAAGTGATAATCAGTGACCCGAATAGGGACTGTTTTATTTGTTTTTAAATTTTATAAATAACTAAAAATCACTTTAGTTATTTATAAAATTAAATTAAAATGAGTATTTACAAGGCCAGTGTTGTGTTTGAATATAATTAATTATAAAACTGTGCATATAATGTTAATTTATTCATTTTAATATTTCGAATGTACTTATTTAGGTTTTTTAAATGTCACATAGTAGTTTGTATTTACATTCTCTCGAATTTTATACAACTTTAATACCGTTACAGGTTTTTGAAGAAATAACTAAATAATTTTACCGTATAAAGAAATTATTAAATCCTGACAAATTTAATGTATATAGAGTCTTTTGAATTTAATTTTCTTAATAATTAGCATAAGCATCTATCAAATATAAAATAAATAAAAAATATATATTTAAATTTTTGATGTTGATAGAATGTGCTCTGAGCATTTAAGAATTGGTCTAAACATTTGTGTATTTTTGTCACTAACCAAAAAGCTGTGTAAGCCAGCCTTTATTCCAGTTGTGGTTTCCCGTAACCACTTAACACTATGACCGTGGACTTATCGACGTTGTTTCTAAAAAACAAACCTAATTTTACACTCTAGTTAAATAGAACGAGATTGTGTGATCTCAATTTGGTGATGATATAGAGCGAAGAACGATATTAAATTACATATTATAAAAAAAGAATTAAGTTTAAAAAAAAAGAATTAGAATTAAAAAATTATACGATAAAAGCAAATAAGCTTAAAGTTTACAATGCTCTCAACATAGGCTTACTTACAACTTAAATCTGTTTAAATAAGAATGGTCCTGATCTGAAAAAGAATCCTAAGTTATATGAGATTTATATTTGTTTTGTAGGTGGTGTCACTTTTAGGCGTGGTGTGCGCGGTGCTAGGCGGAGTCGCCGGCGGGGCTGTGTCCTGGCCAGGAGCACCATTATCTTTATCAGCCGCTGTACTTAATCATCACACAGTCATACCGGCACAAACGAAAGCCTTCGGCTTTTCAACAACACAATATATTAATACTGTAAGTTTCAAATGTTTTTTTTTAACTCAGAAGCCCTTTACCATCTTCTCTGATGATCAGGAGTCAGGACGAGCATCGCACGGGTAGGTACCAACACCCTGCCTATTTCTGCCGTGAAGCAGTAATGCGTTTCGGTTTGAAGGGCGGGGCAGCCGTTGTAGCTATACCTGAGACCTTAGAACTTATATCTCAAGGTGAGTGGCGCATTTACGTTATAAAAGGAATTAAAAAAAAAAAAAACGAGCATCGTGTTTGTGGATTTTCGTAACTACATAATGCCCGATGAGTTAAGCTGTCCTAATTTATGAGCTCATCTGCCCCAAGTTCGCTTAATTCATTAAGCCAATAAATGATATTACTAAAATGGCAAGAGAAGATACTGCCTGCATTGGTATTTCGTAAAATATATACTTTATAAACTAAAACGGCAAATTATAACTAATTTAATTGTTTTAAATTTTCAGCCACCAGTTGCGTACAATCCTTATGGATTTGTTCCGCAGTTCACGTACCAAGTGCCACACTTTAGTGGTATTTCAGCAATTCAACCGGGTTTCGTTCCCGCACCCGGTCATACATATTATCCGGCTAGCGTTTTTTACCCTCAAGGACAAATCATACCTGCCCTGCCTCCTGGCCCACCATCTAACCAACCCGCTCCTGCAGGCAACCCTGAGCAGCAGCCCAACGACGAACAGCAGCCTACTGGTGATGCAGATACAGCTGTAGTTGATTCAGCAGATTTTACACCACAAAGCCAACAACAGCCAAATCCAACTGAATCGAATTCCCAAGCCCCTTCCCCGTTGCCGCCAGTGAGTTCATTCCCAAGTTTTCCTAATTTCCCTCAGATTCCCCAGGCTGGACAACCGCAATTTCCCCAAATACCTCAAGGACCCAGCCTACCATCGTTCCCGCAAATTCCTCAAGTACCAGGTCAAATACCATATCCTCCCATCCCACAGTTTCCCCAAGCACCAGGGCTTCCCCAGTTTCCTCAAATACCACAGAGCCCCATGTTTCCTCAGTCCCCATCACCTTCGCCTCCAACGTCTTACCCAGGCGACGCTAACGGTGACAAGGGATTGAACGATGAAGATACAATATCTGTGGAGTCTGCCTAGTTTAATAAAAAATTCTCTTCAGGTCATAAAGAAATCCAATGAAAATTTTGTTGTTTTATTGAACATTATATTATTATGTTTTTTTTAAACTAAGCAGCTGCAAATACAATGAGCCCTGAGAAGGGCTTTATAAGTTATGGTCACAAGCACTGATTTATTTATTAATTTAAATTCGTGTATTTAGACGCGTAGTTTGGACGCATACTCGTAGTTGCTTGAATATGAGAGACTATAGTCGAATATTGAAATTCTTAGATTATTGACTTCAAATTTTGATGTGATGACATAAACTTCCATTAATCGAATGGTATTAAGAAGCAAGGTAATATGGATATGGAGTCACTCGTATTGTCAACGAATTGTTTTGTTTTGTTGTTCTTCCACAAGAGACAATAATACTTGATATCGTATCTAACAAGACGCTCTCTCTGAATCATTTGGGTGAGGCTCTTGTATTGTCACCAAAAACCTGGCTTCCGTTCCGGTATCCAAGTTGCAAAGTCTGCTGCGGTAGTATTCTTTCCATTAAGACCCAAATTAAAGTAAAATATGTACGGAAACCAGTCTGTCTTGAATGTAACTGTTATATTGTATCCTCCGACGCCTTTAATTTCTGGCACTATCAGACGATTAGGCAATTTGAGTTTGGCACAAACTATAGTGCAGTCTATTCCTGCAGATAACTGAAACAGTAACATGCATGTGTGTTCAGTTTTGACACTGTTTATATTATTACATTAAATATATATATATTAAAATTAAAATTTTAATTTAAATGTATGCAGATATGATGTATTTCAATACAGGGATTCTAAAATAGTTTCAGATAGTTTTTATTCAAACTTACTTTTAAAATAACGTTGAGCTTAGCCGGCGGATCCGCTTTAACTTCAAAGTTTTCTGAATAAAAGAAAGATGTTGATCTTTGTTGTCTTTTTACAGTTTTGAAGCAGTAGTCTCCAACTACATAAGTTCGAGATTTCCAGCCTGCTTTCATTTTTCTTCTCTTTCTGAGATAACCACTGTGGATTCCCATACCTGCAAAGAATGCGTATCAATAACAATGTAAACAATTCATGTACCACTTGCAGGTTAAACGATATCATACATTAAAAACGGACAAGCCGTTATTTCAGTTGTCAGTAAAACTAAAGATATACAATACAATCTAGAAGAGAACAATCTAAAATTTACAAAAACTACTAACTTGAACCTCCTTCGACCAACATGAAATTCTGCGAATATGGTTTCGGAAGCTTGTTGGCGGTGACGACATTTACAATCCAGTTATTATATGGATAAACATCTATGTACAGCGGGGGCTCACTAATTAGCTTCCTGCGCATAGACCTTCTCGTGCAGGGCGCACCGCCAGCAGCGACACCGATTAGTTCGAAGCCACCGTCCACATTTTGACTCACGATGGGAGCACCAGGTCTTACGCCACAGCCAGAGCTACACAGAACGTGCGTGACTCCCTCACTGCCAAGCCTCTGTCAGCCGAGTAGATTTACATATGTGAATAAATAATCTCAATTGATAATTAATTAAACATATTACTAAGCGGACGTCCCGAAGTGTCGGTGGATTACTTCTAATAAATAGTCTGAATCACTACATACCTAGGTAAAATATCTAAAAGTTTTTTTTCCTACCTAAGCTGATAGCCTTGAGAGGCTATTTCAGCGTAGCCTTAACTAGTAGGTGAGCTTACGGAGCTCAAACTGGAGTGATGTTAACACTGACCCTAGCAAGAGCAGTGCTTCGCAGAAGCAATTTCGGTTCAATTTTATATTAATGTATAACATCCACGTATTTTTTTAAAAGAGGATATCTTTTTTAAGATCTATTTTATTTGATAAATTTACTTCGGGTGCCAGTTCTACAAATATCGCACGCTCCTCCGGCGCCGATATCGCGTAAAAGATTCTACCCACGGCCGATAAACAACACATAGTCTACTTGCTCATTTATTTTATGAAATTAATACCAGAACCGCTAAGCGAAGTGAAGTCTCGAGGTGACTACATTTAGTAACTCACCGACTTACTCCGATGCCTACGACATTCTTTATGAGTATACATTTTCAAAGTTTTCTTTCCCATTCTTTCTGTATCAAAATCTCTTGGAACGGCTGCAAAAATAAATCAGGAAGCATGTACAAAATTAGATTGGAGATTTTCTAACACATTGATTAATTATACTTACTGCTTATGTAGTCGATCATAAATACTGCTTTATTTCGTTTTTTTCTTGTCCTTTCTTCGAGAGACGGTAGGCAAATTGGTACCATGTACTCTATAAAAGATAAATAACTTTTTTAAAAAAACGCATTTCGGTGATCCTTTTTCAAATTTAACCGAAATTATGAATATGGTAATAGTATGTCTATCTGGTGAGCGTGAGATTTCTAATGTAACAATTCTTGTCAATACGAGCTAATACGAGTATTTGTAAGTGATTAATATTACAATTTTTGTAAAGATTGAGGAGATTAAGGAATTTAAACTTAACTGGCACTAAGCCGTGTGGCATATCTAGTACACAAATTATATTAAGCACGATGGCTAAGGTAGACTTGGAATGGTCTTATACTGTTCTTCGATCGCAACAAAAAGTATTCCGTTTTTTTGCGCTAGACATACGATAAGCAGTTATCATAAATAACTTATTCTCGCCCAGCGAGTGACATTTAAGAATGCAAAAAGCTACTTACGAGACTTCAAGGGACGCAGTAACTTAACAAGAGCTAAGCTGTTCCCGACACCGAACCTGAAAGTTAATCTTTGATCATTAACCGACACAGGCATACATTCTACGGTGGAAGCTTCGAAATTAAATGCTTAAAAAGTGGTCAAGGAATTTAACATTTTATTTTCAGCAAAAAAATGCATTATCGTTATAAACGTACGTAGACTGGTGGTAGGACCTCTTGTGAGTCCGCACGCTTAGGTACCATCACCCTGCCTATTTCTGCCGTGAAGCAGTTCATGCGTTTCGGTTTGAAGGGTAGGGCAGCCGTTGTAACTATACTTGTGACCTTAGAACTTATATCTCAAGGTGGGTGGCGCATTTACGTTGTAGATGTGTATGGGCTACAGTAACCACTTAACACCAGATGGGCTGTGAGCTCGTCCATCCTTGTAAGCAATAAAAAAAAAACGTAGCCGTGGTGATATGGCCCATCAGCTCACACACTTAAAGCAAAGTAAAAAAAAAAAAAATTATAATNAAAAAAAAAAATATATAATTAGCGTATCGTAAAACAACCGTGTTGAATGTAACAGCTATATCGCTTATTAAAATAAACAAACAAAGCAGAGGTCATTATCCTAATTTTGTGCGAAAGACTAGTTTTTTTTAAATATTATTCAGACCGACGTGTTACGTTAATATAACTATAACTTCTTCTAGCTTCATTTACATATATTTCTCATTGAAACGAAACAAAATAGGATTTATTTGTCTGCGTGTGACTTAAAACAGTCGGAAGGTTGTTGTGTGTGATAAAATATTATATTCTACTAATAGTTGATCACCGTGTCCTGTGAAACCTGCTTGCTCAAGTTTAATAAGACGTAAAATAAAAATTTATCTTTCCGCGGCCAGGTTGAGCCGTTGCCGTTTTATTGCTTTCTTTAAATATAAATTTAACGAAAATTACTTCGTGTTACTATGAATGACAACAGTAAATTTATTCAAGATTAAGCCGTGTATATTTTTATGATAATTATGTAATCAATATTTATAACGGATTTGATAGAAGCGTTTCTGGCCATATACATGGTACGTGAGTCCGCACGGGTAGGTACCACCACCCAGCCTATTTCTGCCGTGAAGCAGTAATGCGTTTCGGCTTGAAGGGTGGGGCAGCCGTTAACTATACAGAGACCTTAGAACTTATATCTCAAGGTGGGTGGCGCATTTACGTTGTAGATGTCTATGGGCCCAAGTAACAACCCCAGGTGGGCTGTGAGCTTGTCCACCCATCTAAGCAATAAAAAAAAACGTATAAGTCTGTTGCATGTTTTGATATCATAGTTACATATCGAGGGGGAAAGGCTTTTTAGTTTAAGCGTCATTTTTGCAACTTGACAGGAGAGCCATTTAAAGTTTAAAATTTGGAATTAAAAATCATAAAAAAGCACTGAAAGTGGATCCGACAATACATGTTTTGGGCAAAGACGGCTTAGCGTTGCCCTGTTGCCTAGGTCGGATGTCTAATTGAATATGCAATTTCGAAAAGGGCACATGTCGCATATTTTGTCAAATACCTTTTTTCATATACATGTAGTTTTGCGGCTTAGCTACACCCATTTTATATTATAATAATTCCAGTAATTTTCAATTGCTAATATATATCTCAAAAGTTAATATTTTAAATTTTACACTGCTTTAGAAAATAATCAGTTTTTTTTTTCATTTCCTGAACATTTTACATTTTCAGAGATGTGTCCTTTTCGAAATTGCATATTCAATTACATAGAGATAGCCACGATAAGAAAGCCTATCTGTATTATCTATGTAATTTCATTCTAATTTACTTCCCGCTTCTTATATCGTTACTGTTATTTGATTTTGAATTAAGTAATAAGCTAATTTATTGTTGTACTTGCCTAGAGTACTCAGGATGTGGAGTAATATCTGAGATGGGCATTTCCATGTATGCGCGCGGACACTTCTCTGCCATTTTCGTTTGCATATACGTCAGATCACATTCATTTTCTTCACGCTCATAATCTCCAAAAATAATATTACCACTAAAAATGTAAGAAAATATTTACGTTACTATCCGGTGTGGATGACAATACAAAACAATTGGGATTTCTACCGTCATGTTTCAAGGTGAGTTATTTTTTGTTGCATAGACATGTAGACAAGCTTACGGCCCGCCAAGTGTTAAATGGTTACCGCAGCCCATAGACAACACATAAATACCACCCTACCTATCTTAAAACAAAGTCTGAGCTTTCTTAGTATAATTATGTCAGCTGCTTCACCCCTATAGGAATACATTACTGCTTCGTGGCAGGAATAAGCAGATAAGTGTTACTAACATAGTAAAAAGCATACTCTCAAAATTGACCGCAAGCTGAATCTATAAACAAAACTTTCAGGTTCCTAGGTTGAACGGAAAATTCCTCAAAAATCATTGCAAAAAATTACGGTTTTTTGTTTCGTTTTTCATTATTACATTTTTTCAGTCTATCAGCCGGCAAGTAACAAGCGCGGTAAGGAAATTCGTTCCAAAAAATCTGTTCGGTTTCCGCACAAGAATCATCAGTAGGGCGCCTAGTAAATAATATTATTATAGAACTCCAACAATAAATTTCTATGAACAGTATTCGTTTTACCAGTGTAGGCAAATAGAAAAACAAAGAACAGACTTTAGTTTTGCAGATACGTGTTTTTTTTTATTAGCGCGCGACCGGAACTAATCATCCAATTGTTTCTATTTAAATATGTAAATACTTAAATATATACTTTGTTAGACGGAATATTTATATTTCTCATCAGCTTGTTGCTAACGCGTGGCATTCAGAGTTTATTTATTTATTTATAACTTCTTATACCGGAAAGTATAAAGTTTACGAGTTCACGAAATTTTATGCTAAGCTTTTATTACTCGTAGAAGAAGGCACATTATTACATTTTGAAGTCACACTGGCTTAAATGATAAGACGCCCGGTACAATCGAATCCGAGTAATGCGACTGTACCGGTGTTCGAATCTCGCAGGCAGGTACAAAAAAAACGTGTTACTTTATTTTATTTGGGACAGTAATTATCATGATTTAAATTTACAAATCGGCGAGAGAAATTTCGACACGAACACGTTTGTTAAAAATTGGCTAAAAACTACCGACAAATACTGAGCACAGAAGGCTTTCATGGATATAATAATATGTAGTTTCAACGCATCATTTCAGTCTCTTATTAATTTAGTTTGCATTGTGAAATCTTACAGTTTATAGTTCTTGGGTAAATGAAGTAAATCCGTGGCTGTTCCAACAACAAATTGACTATGCACGAGAACCACTCTGGGGGCTATACTGTGATGTGGCAAGCCCGTTGTCACTGTAAAAAAATTTAAAATCTAAATTACTAAGATATACTTTTCCACATATTCTAATACCTACGGGGATAATCTTCGCAATAGAATATTCTTTATAAATTATATTAGAATTATTTCTCTTTCGGTAATAACATCCTGAAACGTATGAAGAGAACATTGCTCCAACAACCATTAAAGGCGCTTGATAACTTTAAATTTTTATATGCAAAATGATAGATAAAAAAATGATTTTATTGTAAAAAAGCATGGGGTGCATGGTATAAATAATTATAAATATTTTATGAACAGATATGAGTAGAAGGGTTAATTTGATAATATCCTGAAAAGCACCCCACGCTTTTTTTACAATAAAATCATTTTTTCTTACACTATTTTTAATTCAAATTTATTAAAATTTGTTTTCTATTTTTTAGTTGGATTTTCTATAAAAGCATATTTTTTAAACTATTATTTATTTTTAATTTTTTAGTTGAATTACAATCTTTTCAATTTTTTTTTTAATTTTGTATTGTCATCGTTATAATATATCAAATTTCGCGTTAATCCGTCGTTTTGAAGGGGGTCAAAATCATGTTCAAAGATTCCGTTACAAACGACATTATTAATGACGTATTATTGCGTATTAATGCGTATTAATGACAGCTCACCTGTCAACTACACCAGCTATCAAAATGTGTTTTAATTGCCCATATTAATGCATAAAATTGAAGCATCAATTGCGTTTATAATGTACTACGTAAACTTCAATTCAATCCGACGCATCGTAAGATTGTCTAGCGGCAGAAATAGGAACTAGGGTTAAAAAGGTACAGTCGGCAAAACAGGAGAAAAAGATCAAACTAATAGCTTAATGGGTAAGTTTTGTTTATTTCCAGGGACAAGATAGTTTCTTATGGTATTTTTAATTTATTTGCAGGTATTAACGTTCTTACCATGTAAATATTGCACAAACGCCAGCCAAGTAAATGTGTGCTCCTTTAAAATGCCGTCAGCTGGCTTCAGTGTGAAATCGTCATGACATATTGAAAAATCCCTTATGTTCGATGAAACTAGACGAACCGAAGCTATCACAAAATTAATAGCAGTACATTAGATTGGTTACCCACTAATTTACAATTGTAAACCAATAAATTAACGTTATTTATTTTATTGCATTTATAGGCAGACGAGCATACGGCTCACCTGATGGTGAGTGGTTACCGTCACTCGTGGACGCATTTCAATTCAATGCCTACCATAACAATGTAGCACGGGAAGATGAGCTCTCGGCCCACCCAGTGTTAGGTGGTTACTAGAGCCCGTAGACATCGACGTGAAACCACTATCCACCCAGAGACGTGAGGTCAAATGTAAGTTTTATTGTAAATACTTGATTGCCCGTGCGAGCATATAATATCCGGTCACCAGTAATTATAATACAAAAACTTTAATGTTACCTAAATCAAACCCCAAAAAAAATCATGTCGGATTATAGTTTTTTACTCATCATAAGTTTGATATCGACGCTTGAAACGTGACTAAGCGACAACGCGTGAACTTTACAGTAGACTAATTTAAAGTTAAAATTAATTTAAAATATACCTGAGAAATACCTGAAAAAAATTATATTTTAACGAATCTAGCTGTAGGATTGAAATGATTTTAATAGACTTAGAAATATATATTATTTGCGCATCGAATATGGTTATTGCCTATCATTTATGTACAAAGCAGTTATTGTCGCTTAGTCCCGTTTGCCTTTCAAGCGTCGATATATTTTTAAATATTAAGCTAATTAGTTGCTTATGCCTCGTACACTCAGTCATCCGTGACCAACAAAATGATGCGGTATTCGAAACGTCGGAAATATAAAATGACAATAAAAACGCGATATTAAACCGTAAAAGTTTATTTTTTTACTATTTAGTATACTTTACTTTAATTATTTAATATACTTTAATATACCCGCGAAAATCAAAGAAGATGCTATGGTTGCTTGTATTAATTACAAAATGGAGTAAAACACGAACTTACTCACCAATGACAGAAAATATTATGTTATAATTCATCTTGAACGTACGCGATGACTAGTTAGTATTTCGTTCGTATCTTTACCAATGCATTATTGGATGGTTTGTCACTCACCCTGCACGAGGATGTTATTTGTAAACAAAATCTGGAATGCGTAAATGCGTTTTACAAATTTGTGTCATGTCTTTGTATAAGCTATAGTTGTAAGATAGTCTTATTGTTACTATTTTCGATTGGCAGTGGTCATGCTTTCCGACATAGGTAGTATTAAAATTACTTATGCATTCGGGTTTAAAATACCTTTTGCATCCAGTTGAAGATCCAGGATCAGGAATAATTTGGGAGGTTATTGTACATCCTTTCTTTCAGCCTAGGCCTTCGGCGTCTAGGGGGCACGCGTGGTATGTGGGGCTTGACGGTGTACGGTCTGATGTTGGAAGTAGACCGCGGGGCTAAGAGGAGGCCGTATCGCAACTACTGTTAATTTAGTTGCAAGTAGAGATTGCCAGGCTAGTTCGCTCTTGTAAGATGCTTGGCTTTCAAATTTGTTTATGGATTTGCCGTATTGAATCCTTTTTTACTTATTGTGACCATAGCAATTATGATTTACAATAGGATTTTAGAAGGAACAGCAGCGTTTCAACTTCCGAATACTTCACCTACCCAGTGGCGGATTTACCCTAAGGCCCGGTAAGCCCGGGCCTAGGGCGCCCTAATCGTCTCAAAAAACTTATTATAACGTATGGCGGGCGGGCTGCACTGCATGGTGCAATCTATACCGCATCCTTAAATACTCTATTATCATCTCAGCTATTATTATTATTATTTATTATACGATATTCTTGCGAAATAAAACTATTTTTTTTTTCCTAAATTTCTAAATCTATTTAGATAAAAGTTGGCAATAAAGTAATTTCATTATGTAGTCTATATGGTGGATGCTGAGAAAGGGGCGGCTGATGGCTTGGGGCCTAGGGCGGCCGAGATTGCAAATCCGCCACTGCACCTACCACTAGAATCGAAATAGATTTACCTTCGTTATATTGGAAGCAAATATATCAGTAATGCCGAATCACTTTTATTATAAGGACACTTTAGGTGGCACTGTTGTATAGAATGATATTCACAGATCTTGATATTGCATTTAAGCTTTGGAACCGCATATACTAGAGTAATAAAATAATAACAAAAATACATTATTTTAGATAACCAACTATGATAAAACTCTGTGCAAGAAACCACTAATATTGGACACAAGAAAAGGAATATGAAACGTGAAAATGAAATGATCAAGATATTTTGAAAATTAAGTGTACGTGAAGAAAGTTCAAAATTAACAAATCATAAATATTCTGTAAAACACCAACTTTTAAATCATCTTTTTATTTACAAAATACAAACATAATTAAAAGTAAGAACAGATGATACGGCTGCCTTCTTAAGTTAAAGTATTCCTACTGACATCTCTGGACCCAAACTTGGTTTGAACACCGTTAATGAAACGCTGTCTTTACATTTCTAATGAGACAATGAAATATTATGTTATTAAAGAATCCCTTTGACTAAAGCTAGTTAAATCTGATGTATGTATGATCAGTAAGTACTTGTTAAATGTTTTACGTATATATATATAAAAGGCGAGAAAGAAAAATATATAAAAATAAAAATATAGAACCAAATGGTGTAAAATGATCCGCAATAAACTCTTGTTGCGAGGAGGTGTTCACGACCCTCAGTATTGAGGAAACCGAAGCAAGAAGAAGAAGGAACTGGAAAGACGGGCATTAATGAAACAAGTAGCAAGTTTAAAATTAAAATATTTATCTTACAAAATCAGTGGGTGGTAAAATTCAAACAGAAATGTAACAGGCATGTTTAGTTTCTTATTTAAATAAAACTCATGCATCTCGATCTTTTGTACTGTGTTCATCATTAGGACGTAGGCTTGTCCCTGACAATAGTACAGCGGAAGGCGACTTCTGCGAAACAGATATTTTCTAGCCACATACGCCTTCATTACAATACATTGTAACGCGAAACGCTGGGAGTGTTTATTGACTAATAACTGAAACAAAATTAAATATAGGATTTTAATGTTTCTCGATCAAGAAGCTGGTTTTTATTTCGACTTAATTTGAAAAAAAAAAATTAAATTAAATTACGGTCTAGTCTCTATTTATTTATTCCTCAATTCGAAGTTTCGAATACAAAATGTCGAAAACAATTCAATTTTACTGGTGGTTGGACCTCTTGTGAGTCCGCACGGGTAGGTACCACCACCCCGCCTATTTCTGCCGTGAAGCAGTAATGCGTTTCGGTTTGAAGGGTGGGGCAGTCATTGTAACTGTACTTGAGGCCTTAGAACTTATATCTCAAGGTGGGTGGCGCATTTACGTTGTAGATGTCTATGGGCTCCAGTAACCCTTAACACCAGGTGGGCTGTGAGCTCGTCCACACAAACAAGCAATAAAAAAAAATACAAAAAAAAAGTATTTTAATTTAAAAAAAAACACGAAACGTTATTGTCTCGACGTTTAAATGGATTAAAAAATATTATAACTCACGTATAAGTAATCTGCCTGACTGTCTTTCCAAGTCTTAAGAGTTATATTCGCTGTTTTGTGAAGGAATCTCTTAGTGTAAGTGATGTCTCCCGGACACCAACCGAATTTATAAGTACTGTGTAGGTACTCTGAAATACGAAGAAGCAATTTCTTATCGTGACTCTTTAATCGTTTTACAGTATCCGATATATCACATTAATTCAATAAAAAAAGTTCACAATTAACTTGATCACGCGAAATATACGGAAGATTGTTTCTCCAAGATTTTTTTAAAGAACACGTATTTATGTTTTATCTCTTGTTTACATTTTCGCTCTATTCGGTTATTTGGAAACTTGTACAATTTCGAGTTAGAATTTTGAAAATAACCAGACGCTAAACACCTTTCACAAAGACACTGTCCCTGAGTGGGAACCGAGGCCAGACCCTGTTATGATTAGGCAGTCTAGACCGCATCACACCAATATACATATATATGAACGTAATTGTTATTATGTCTACACCAAAATGGTATTTATGGAATCGCAGTGTTAACGGTTTTACTGGTGGTAGGACCTCTTATAAGTCCGCACGGGTAGGTACCACCACTCTGCCTATTTCTGCCGTGAAGCAGTAATGCGTTTCGGCTTGAAGGGTGGGGCAGCCATTGTAACTATATTGAGATCTTAGAACTTACATCTCAAGGTGGATGGCGCATTTACGTTGTAAATGTCTATGGGTTCCAGTAACCGCTTAACACCAGGTGGGCTGTGGAGCTCGTCCGTCGACTAGTACCCACAACGTATAAAATTTATTTGGCACAACTATTTGTGATCTTGTTTAAATACGCACGAATATGTTTCCTTACTTCTAGGTAAATTTTCATCAGGTATAACCGCTTTTTCTTTGGTGTCTTTAGATTTTCTTTCATCGAGACCGGTATAAGAACTCCGCATTGCGTACGATGCCTGATTCGCAGGAACAGCCCTCCATGATACGGAATTGCTGACTTTTAAAACGTTGAAATGAAAATTATCAAAATTTTTACACATGTCTTCAAAAACAATGACGTTTATAAAATCTGCGATTCTATTGAGAATGTGTTGAATATTGTTTGCAATGTAGAGAACATAAAAAAAACAGGGCTTACAGTCGGTGAACACATTTTGTGTTGTCGTTAAACTAAAGACATATATGTTGTGGTTTGACCTTTGAACTTCTTATTGGTGGTAAAACACTGTATTCTGTACCTACTACCTACCTACACGGCGCAATGCCTATTTCTACTGTGAAGTAGACATTATTTTCGATTTCAAGGATGAAACAGTACAATTGATACTTTAATCGCATGTCTAAGATGGCTGGCAACATTCACGTTACGATGTCCTTGGCTTGGGTTACTGGAGGCATAGTGCAGGTACTGGCCGGCTTATGGACCATCGTGTGTGGTGCACTATCTTGCAAAATCCGAAGGCGCGATGGTACGGTATCGATAAGATGGAACCCGCTTTCTCCCATGTCAAATCTTGGCCGGAGTCCCACAAGGCTCGACCGTCTCCCCGCTCCTTTTAGCGTATACAGGGCGAAAAACAAGAAGATAAAACAGGCAGACGGCGGAGCGTGAAAGCCAGTGCCCTTGCGGAATTCGGATGACCAACCTTTTGGGGGCATCGACGACCGCTAGTTCAGCACTCCGTGGGGGCTTACTTAATTAGTAAGTACCTAGTTTCAAATTTGAAAAAAATAAACTTGCCGATTAAAGACAAAAAAATAAATTTAAATACATTTTTAATTTGTGTTTCTTAACTAAAAATTTTGTTTTCAAATTAAGTAATTTTTTTTTATATAATTCAATTGCACTTTATATTTAACTAATAATTATAAGTACATAGTTTCAAATTTGAAAAAAATAAACTTACCGATTAAAGACAAAAAAATAAATGTTAAATACATTTTTAATTTGTGTTTCTTAACAAAAAATTTTGTTTTCAAATTAAGTAATGTGTTTTTTTTTATATAATTTGATCGCACTTTATATTTGACTTTGTTTCTTGAAAGTTGTGACAGTCTAATGTTTAATTTACGAATTGAATTGACTTAATCTTTGTTTAGAATTCGGTATCCTGTATTTTCGTTGTGGCTATTTACAGTGAAACAACAAACACTCGAAAATTAATTTATTGGAAGCATTAATTATATTAATAATTTATTGATTAAAAATTAGCATAAAATAATTAAAATATAAAAATTAGATAGTTTTTGTTTATTAACATAATATTAGTTTTAGAAACTAATAAATATATGACATGTTTATTTTTAAAGATATAAAAAGGATCTTGGAAGTTTCATAAAGTAGAATAATTGTACAGCTTAAAAAGGATTAGAATTTTAACAACAATTTGTCGATCATTTGCTTACATACTACACGTTTGTCATATAATATATACTATTAAAAACTTGAAGATAGAAATTTCAATAAACTTAATGAAAGTACAGATCGTTTCAAATTACTAGAAATCTCGCATTTTCATAATAATATTTTAATAGCTACATTTTAATGTGGTTTAAATACTATAAGATTTTAAGTCACGCTTAGACTTGTGATACTGTTTCTAGTATTACCTCGGCTCGCTGGTGATTTGACTAGTGCGACCCACATTTTTCTAGTGACTGGATCACAAATAATAAAGTAGATAAATAAAACAAAACCTTGCAATGTAGAAGTCAAACAAAACAAATAAGACCAAAGTAAATTTTTCGAGAATGATAAGATGCCAAATACCCATGTCAAACCCAACAAGAAAAATAAAAATACTGATAATCTCAATTGGGCTCCTACAAGGTCCATGTCCATATTCTTCGTGCCTTCATCAGAGTTTCTCGATATAGCGTGAAGTACTAGTATAAAAAGGATAACGTTTATAATCAGTATTACACCAACGGGCATTATAATACCAAATATTAAAGCAAAGCCTTGAGGATAGCAAATCTCTCTAGTTTGGGACGGAGCAGGTATGTAATTTGATGGGTCGATAATGAGTGTTATTGTAACCGGTATTATTGGCACACCCCAACCAGCTATACTTATTTTTATCATGAACGTTGGAGATCTGCGTATACCTAGCACTCTGACATAACGCACGAACTGAAGAACAGCCGCAATTAGCATCCACAAGAAACTACTAAGAATAGAGTAATGTAGTATAGCACCCAATACAGTACAAACAGTTCTATAATCTTCGTCAACGAAATGTTCATCGTTTTCTGTAATAAATATCGTGTTATCCAAATCATAAACTACCATGAAAAGCAATGGAAAAGCGATAGAAGTCGACAGCTGTAAAAGTACCTTCGTACCAGGTTTTTTACGCCAATTACCGAAAATTAGGGCCGTGATCCAAATACCGGCTATGCCTCCTAACGAAAGGAAGCAACCAATCAAAGTGATAATGTTTAATGCCCTTTTGTGAATTTTATTATTACTAGGAAAATTGTAGTCTGAAATATGAAGAAGTTGACCGAAATGTGTAAGATGATAGCATTCACAAACAGTTAATTTATCTTCAGACCTTATTAAGTAGCATCCTTCATTTTTCCACGCCCCAGGATTATTATTGAAAGGTCCGTGTGGCTTAAAATCCCAGTATCCACAAAATTTGTTCGAACTGCTTTCATTGAATTCTCTGAATATAAGGGGTACCGGGTATTCTAAGTTTGAAATAAATCCTGGTATAGTGACACCTACAATGCGGCTATTTATGGCATGTTCTTTGAAGTTTACTTCCGGAAATACAGCGTCAGTATGAAATAAGCTCAGGATAATGTTGATGTCTTTCTTATTGGTATAGTTTTGAACGCTTCCATTAGAATTAGGTATCAAAGTATTTATTACGTTTTCAGGTACCCAAGTAGCGACTTCCAGGTTTACAATGGATTGCACGTAGTCTAGTGTAGTGTTTTTATAAAGCGGTATAATTTTCATGTCATTAAAAGAATCTGACTCTGTGTTTTTAGAAAGAGCTATTCCAGTTATGTTATTCAGTTCTGGGAACGATATTTGTACTAAAAAATTCGGCTTTACAGCAATTTGATAGTTTTCGTTTTCTAAAATGTTCCGATGTAATGTCAGATTGTTGTACGCAATATTTTCAATAATATAATTTACCGAACTTAATATAACATTAGTAGAATTGAGTGTTTGTGCTAAGCGTAAGTACTCACAATCCAATGTCATCATTCTATCCATCGCCCAGACTATATTTTCAATATATCCCATATCGATAAAGATTTCTTGTTCATGAGAAATTTGTAAAACTTGTCGTAGTGACATGGATAGATAGTATATATCTGCTGGTATTATGATATCTGTGTCGTTCAGAACAAAATTTAGCCCATCCGTAATAAAACGAGAAGTATAATTGGGTTCCTGGCCCTTTAAAAAGTTGTATAAAAATTGTGTTGTTGTAGAAGGTTTGTATGCTGTATCGCATATCCCATCAATACTACCCCAATTGCTTCCATACAAATAAGATCCAAGACAGCGCCGCTTAACTGGTAAGCCATTGCTCTGCAAACAAAACTGTTTTGGTGCTGAAATTTGACCTATTGATGTCAAATCCCAATCAAGCATTATGGTGTCACTGGAGGTGGTCGGTAGACAATACAACGAACTCGATATGTTCAACACTGTTAAGTTATGTTGGGGCAAATGCAAATTAGCTTGATTTTTTATAAAATTCAGTTTTTCTATTATGTTTAGTCCGTAGTCTTCGTGAGTATCTTCAAGGACTACGTGAATATGAAATAACATTAAAATGCTATTTTTATTATATCCTAAAATATCCATTAGTAGTACTTTGTTTGCATTAAATATAGTAGTCAGTAACAGAATTACACTATTCAGTTCAGTTTCGTCTTCAATTTCATTTAATATTAAGTATTCAACAGTAACGGAAAATACGTGAACATCATTGCCTCTTGGATTAACGACAATTTTGTTCGTGGAAATCAATGTGAAATTTGTTGTGTGCCCTTCGCACCAATACTGAGCAGATCTATCTGTGACTAGATTTATTACATAAATTACTTTTTCTACTGCATTACCGTTAATTACTTTGTTAGAGGCTATAGATTCAGAAATTATTTGTTTTGATTGAAATAAATCAAGTTCGCGTACATTTATGACACCCACAAATCCATTGGCATCGGAAAAACACTGAACACCTTTATCAGTCTTATTATATTTCCATAAACCTGAAGGATAATATATAGTGAGGTAAAGATTGTTATCGACTGTATTATATTCAAACATCAACTCTGTTTCTAAATAAATAACTTGAGTTTCACATGCCATACAGGACAGATGCCGTGATTTATTCATTAATCCTAAAGTTCCGGCATTATCTATTATACCTTCTAAATTATGTTCTTCTAAGTCTTCCAAGAAAGTATTATTTTTGCTAGCCATATAGTAACTGGTAAATTTTAACCAGCACCAAATTTCGTTTGGTAATTTAGAAAGTTCAGCAATTTTTTTGAACATGAATCTACTCAAAGCATTCAATGAAGAAACGTTCATTGGATTTTTACATTTGGCGGTTATGAATTCGTCAAAAGTCCAACCATTTATCGAATCTGAGCTTTCAATTCCGAAGCAAGTGCCGTTATCAAGTTGAAATCTAAGTGCATAATATCCGTCAGGACATTTAGACGGATGATAAAATTCGTTAATATAGAAACACAAACTGGGGTAAATGTTACTACAGGTTTCTGTGATGATCACTCGCTGTTGGACATCAAGTAAGAGGCAATTTTTTAAAAATATCGTCCTGTAACGCAAGTAGCTGTTAGACTTCACACGTCGACCCCAGTTTGGACCTGGGATGTTCCAAACAGCTGGATTAAAAAGTTTGTGTCTTTTTCCGGGTAGCCAAAAATATCTGGATATATTCATTGAAACCAGGGACTGCAGTAAAGAATTTAATTCGAGTTCTGATAAATCTGAGATGACCGATGCCGCTCCACTACTAAAACAAGGATAGTCCCATTGTGATGGTTGGCCAATTTGATAACAATAGTCATTGTTCTTTTCTGATATTTTGTGAAATCCAGGAGGACAAGAAAATACATCAAAATTCTTTACGACCTTGAGACAAGGTTCGACAGCTTCTAATGGCGGCTTCCAAACGTTATCTGTACAGTTTCTTGTGATTAGATTTTGGTTTCGGTAGCATTGCGGATCAGATTCTATATGATCAGCCAAAGAACTTTGTTTCCATTTGACGCTAATTCCACTATGCGAAATTTCTTCAGGACAGTCCTGTAACCCGTCACTTTACTTAGGAATTCACACAGTAAAAATCAATTGAGAGATAATTAAAAATTCAATTACCTGCACAGTAGTCATAAATGTCCATCCTAAAATCAGTATTATGAAAACAAAGTTCATTATCTACACGAAATATAGGAAATAATGCAACAAAACAAGCTCCAGCATCAATCACGATTCGTATCCGACTGTGATTGGAAAAAAACTTTTACTGAATATTATAGGCTTACGTGTGTTGAACGCATTTAACCCTACAGAGTGTTGGAAAGCTTATAATTAAAACATGGTTTTATTAGATAGGCCACGATTTTTTAGGTATACTTAGGGCATCATCTAATTTAATTTGTGGTTCAAGAATTGCACTCATGTTTGTCATAATGATTGTCAACTTCAACATCCGTACTATCTTTCTTAACTCGATAAAATAAGTACATACCTAAATTATTATTTTTAATTTATAGCAATTAAATAAATAAATAAAAAACATCCAGTTGATAATTTGGTTGTCTGGAAGAGATCGCTCTTAGCGATAAAACCGCCAATTGTACTTTTTTGTATTTAATGTATCGCACTCTTTATTTGTTTTTTGGTGTACAATAAATAATACTCTCTCTCTCTCTCTCTATCTCTTACTTGTAATGATAATTGAAGAAAAAATCTAAGTGAAACATGAGTATCGATAGTTTAATGATGTTGAAAGACTGTTGACGTTTTTATAACAATATATAGCTAGCAATGTTTAATATCAATTTGTGAGTCAATGTGCACACAATTTTATTGTGAATCACCAGCTTCTTATAAAAACTGAAAAAATACAACATCACATTTCAGTCTTACTTGATTCTGATGGCAAAATTCAACGACAAAAAACCCTGAGAAAATTAAGCCACCTCTTTTTAAAATGAAGTTTTTAATTCAAATCACATTATTTTTTCATTTAGGTACAAAATCTACTTTGTAACGTTTCATTGAAAATAGCTTACATTATATACTTTCTATTTTAATTGTTTTCATTCCAGCAAGTTATAGTTTTTGTTGGCAATTCTTTACTTCAATATCGGATCTAGTGCTGACAAGCTCTGAAAAAGAACAAAGTAAGTTGAATGTTTATAATTGTATTATTGTGTGTAACTAAAAAAAGTGTTTTTATGTTGGTTTGATGTAGCGTCGATTTGGATATTTGGAAGTGTGCAGTTGGCGCCAGGAACACGGCTTGCACTCGACCCGTCTCCTTGCCTCTGCCTGCCTCGGTTGAGTTCTGTCTCCTCACAGTCTCATTTCATCCATTTAGCAATTGAAATTTTAATCAGGTCGACTCCAATATACCATGTCTGCCGTCCCGAACGTGTTGACAATTAATCAGGTCAGGCAATTAAAGTCGAAAAATACGAAACTCTGTAATTCTACTAAAATCATATTGAAACAAACAAAATCCGATTACCTAGAATGGAATTGCACTAAAATAAACTTAAATTAGAAGAATTAGGTAAAGATTGTATAGAAGATAGATATTGTGTCTCCAAAATTGGCTTAGCCGATAGTAGGGTGATGTTGTAAAAGTTCCACGTGTTTGGTATTAATCCAATATTATATCGCTACCAATGAATCCTGTACAAAAAGGTCGATACCGCTTATTCCATGCACGATCCTTAAGCCCATTATCCTAAAATAATGGTAAAAACTTCCACACGTCTGGATGAAGGCAAAAAATAATCGTTGGCTTATCTAACCCTAGATGTTTTCGTTCAATAGTATATTTAATTAAAATGAATGTGAAACACCGTAATTGGCAGCTATACATAAATATATTTTTGTCTTTAGAACATGTTCACAGTCAATATATTTATGGTGACTGCAAGCGAGTAAATCAAATATTTTATACGCACGTTCACTTGGATCACATCGAGGTACTTGGAAAAATAATTATGAGGGTATGTGAACTTTAACAAAAAAAGTCGAGCAATGCAGTTCAAAGCCTATTTAATTGTAATGAAATAAATTAGTTGAACGAATATGATTAAAAAAAAGTTATTAAATAATTAAGAAGTAAATAAATATATTTATTTCAGGGGTGGATTGAAGTATTGAGAATACCAACGTGTATTATTTTAAGAGCAGTTGCGAACCAAGAAGACACCTTTAGAAGTACCTCATACCCATTTCAAATATGTGTGCCTAGAATAACGTACTGTCACTCACAAAATCGTTTTAAATATTTCTACTACGAGTGGTACATCCCTACAGAATATATAGGCGGAATGGACTGGGATATATACTTCTATGGGCCACCAAATTTAGAATGGCAGTGAATTTTTCTCAATTCGTCCGGAAGATAGCATTATTTTAATGTGTATTAAATAATATCGGAATTGTTTTCAATTAATTGATTAACATGAAGGCTCCAACGAAGGAAGCTTTTAGGAAACCGGACTTCTCGGGGTTTGTAGTGTTTAAATAAATTAAAATCGTTTTATATCACCGATTCTTTTAAAATAATATCTCCGAATCGAGTGTCAGAATTTAAAAAGTGAATAACTAAGATCCTTTTTCGTTGCACACAACAGTTTGCGACTAGTATTGAGGCAGATAGACCGAGAATCGGTGAACTAAAGCGATTTCAATTTATTTAAACACAACCCCGAGAAATCCGGTTTCCTAAAAGCTACCTTCGTTGGAGCCATCATGTTAATCAATTAATTGAAAACAATTCCGATATTATTTGACACATTAAAATAATATTTAATACTATAATAAAAAAATAATACTAATAATATAAATACGATTTTTGACCAGGCTGTATAACGTATATGTCATAATATTATATTAGTGCTGTTGTGTCATTATCCTTCGCATGTAAGCTTGATATCATATCACTGTTGATATATTCATTGATTTTATGCGGTACTTGTAATAACCGTGCACACATTCGTGTCGATTCTCTTGACAACTATAGCTATTACGTTATACAGATGTATAAAAGGCTTGCGGAATATGGCTTTTAACAATGTCAATAATGCATCAGCGGCCATTGAATATTTAAACTTTCAGTGAAATGAAAAGTCAATACTGATATTTTTCTGGATTCCGAAAAAAGATGTCCGACCGTTCTAGTTACTTTGCAATTGTATTATAATTTAGATCGTCCAATCATGATATAAACTAGAATTGGCTCTTAACGTTACACTTTCTTTTGTTTGACTGTTTTGAAAATAAAATTCTTATGAAAACGCTCAGCTGATTGGAATTTTTTGTTTTCGATTATATCAATCAACAACCTTTCAGCAATTGTTGATCAGCATTTTCATTTAATAGTAATGCAATGTATTAGCGTAATAACGGTTTTGATTATAAGCCTTTTTTGTGGTGAGTTAAATTTTTGCTTATATTCTTAAGGTTTAAGATATTTTAAGGTTCGACTATTACATATTCCTCATTGGTTTCGTTTGGTTTGTACGGATTCTCACCACGACTTTCACATTCACATTAATTAACATTAACCTTATGTTCTGATAATCAGGTAATTACAGATTAATTTATGTCGGCACATCTTAATTTTATGTAGAACAGGACAGCATAAAATATAAGAAATTAAAGACTTGGTATTTGAAGTCATCGGGGCAAGATAAGCCGGTGTACAAATTCGCAGGTGAGTGCCAATTTTTCTAAAGAAATAAGTACTTAACATGTGTAATTCACGAATGGCTTACTGTCGCGAAACAGTAGCGCGTCCTGTTGGAGAGTGGGATAGGTATTTTGAGAATGAGACCTCATGTGTCAAGCAACATTCACTATATGATGTCTAGGGGCTTCGAAACCTACTTTAATATCAGCAGGGCTGTGAACTCTCTCACCCGATTATGCAAAAAAAAACTCGGATCTCAAGGCAGGTTGGTGCCAATCACGCTCTATTTTCTTTGGGCACCAATAACTACTAACCACTAGATGTACTATGTCGTCTCTCAATATACGGTAATAAAAAATGTTCCATACTTATTTGGGTTCGGCATACGACGATCAAAATCCAAACGTATCGAAGCGGATTTGCAGGAATGGAGGATTATTATACTGTAATCAAAATCTATAAAAGGCTAATTAAATTCAATATTTTTTATGTTATATTTCTTAGGGATCAATCATTTACTATTGATAGGCGGTATTGAGAACTTATTTAATCTGGATTTTTTTTTATTGCTTAGATGGTTGGAAGAGCTCACAGCGCACCTGGTGTTAAGTGGTTACTGGAGCCCATATTACATCTACAACGTAAATGCGCCACCCCCCTTGAAATATAAGTTCTAAGGTCTCAGTATAGTTACAACGGCTGCCCCACCCTTCAAACCGAAACGCATTACTGCTTCACGGCAGAAAGAGGGGGGGCGGTAGTACCTACCCGTGCGGACTCACAAGAAGTCCTACCACCAGTAAGTTATCCATCTTGAAATGTGTAATAACGAAATTTCGAGTAGGTATATCGAACATACGACAGTCGACATACGACTTTAGCGATTGTAGTGGTGGAAAATTCCACTTATCACGTTGAAGGACCGTTCCGCGGTGCTTATAAAGTGGTTGGTCTGTCCTTGGTATCATTTTAAGGTTGTTAACTATATAATATTATAAGGTTTTAATTTTAGGTAAAATTTTACTAACAAACCAGTGTCGTAGATAATCTTGTAAATTAACTGTATGTTTTCCGAAAGTGAAGTTCTCTCTCTTTCTCATTTAAGTAAAAAATATATTTTTTAATTTTATGTTATATACATATTTGTGTCACATGAGCATGCTGTGAATTACTTGGTAGTTTAAAATGGGACTTTAAATAATTTGGAAAATAAAATTAATTGATTACAATTAATTGATAATATTGCAACATATAACTTTTCTATAAGACTTATATGACTTATAAATATCTTGTTAAAGTTATCAATTCACATTCCATTCAGAAGTTCACGTGGATGGTTACAAAAATTACACACCGTTGAACAATATTATCTTTACGAATATTCCACAAGAGCCTGGTGAGTAAATCTTTGATTTAATAAGAATAAGAAAATATAGTTTTTATTTTTATTTTTAGTGAATTTCGAAGTATCCGTGGCTTCGATAACACGCTAGTGAACCCATATCTAAATATAATGAGCATAGCTGAGCATTTACAAATGTGATACTAAAGTTGAAAGAATAAAATTAGATACAAGATACGTATATTACCTAAGAAAAGTTAGAAATAGATACCTTACGCAAAATTATTTAGCATTTTATTGTATTTAGCGTAAACAGCAATTTTTAACTCCATTATGTGTTATTGTTTATTTGAACAGAGAGCGTCCACAGCGAGTATTTTTTTGGAAAATGTGCATCCATTTACAAAACATTAATTGTTCATGATCGTATGACTTATGAGGATATTAAAGGAAAGATTATTGTAAGGGTAAGCTGAATGTAACTTTAGTTATTTTTAGACTAATAACATTACTGGTGGTAGGACCTCTTGTGAGTCCGCACTGGTAGGTACCACCCCGCCTATTTCTGCCTTGAAGCAGTGATGCGTTTCGGTTAGAAAGGTGAGGCAGCCGTTGTAACTATACTGAGACCTTAGAACTTATATCTCAAGGTGGGTGGGGCATTTACGTTGTAGATGCCTATGGGCTCCAGTAACCACTTAACACCAGGTGGGCTGTGAGCTCGTCCACCCATCTAAGTAATAAAAAAATAATGGCTATCAGAGCCCAAGAGGCCCAAGTTTCAATTATACCTAACGTCTGCTGTTTTCGGCAGAATTCTTCTCCTCCTCCTCCTCTTCACATCGTGCTCCTCAGTGCTGAGGGTCGTGACCATTACGGAGCATTTTTATTTGCCCTATATTCCTCCATTCCTTCTTGTCCACTGCGCAGTGAATACCGAATTACGCAGCGAAAAACCATTAAACCATTAACCAATATCTTTATCAGCTTTCCATTGTTTTAATGTTTTATATTTCAGCGCTGGATCGACGTAGACACGAAACCAACCTGCGCCTATGTTAGAGCTAATTCGTCGTACGCAGATATAGTTCGATATCATTCTTTTAAGTTCGGAATGTGTTTCGGCACACTCGGGTATGTGCATTCAGGGGAAAAGTTCGTTTTTCATTTTTACGAATGGTATATCCCCGTGGAAATGATGAAAGGAATCGATTGGGATTTATACTTTTACGTTACCTAATCTTTTGATTGGCCGTATAAAAATAATTTATTATCCTGCCCTTCTCGCAGTTACCTGGGGTCGGCGCAACATGTTTTCTCCTTCCATACTCTTCTATCATATACCATTTCTTCTTTCCACTCTTACCCGTAACGTCTTTCACGCAATCCATCCATTTCTTCTTAGGTCTATCCCTTCCTCTATATTCTTCCACATTCATAGTTAGCATTGTCTTACCAACCTCTTAATCTTAACCCTTAATCTTTTAATTGGCCGTATATAAATAAAACGACTAAATAAAATTTACCAGGAACTTTTATGTCTTACTTTACATTTCGTCATGCGTGTATGCACTTTCGCATACTTACGTTAAATTCAGGTGTTTCGCCTAATTTATGCTGTACCACAATTCGATGTAAAAAAAAAAATTAAGCTACATGCTACGAGTATTTTAAACTATTCGGTTTTGTCAGATTTCAATCCTCCTTGCGGCAACGGTGGTGGTGGTACGTCAGGTATCGTGGGATCCTTCGATGAGTAATTTAAGACGTTAAGATCGCTTGGCTCAGGAGGGGGAGTTTGTACCGATTTTTCCGTACTTTGAATACTAGCTTCGGTGGCAGGGGCCTCGCTCGGCCCGTTATTAGGAATGAGCGGAACGTTTTGACCCAAAACATTGGTAAGAGGTCTGTACAAAGGGAAATTAGGAAAAGAATTAATCGAGAAAGAGTCGAAGGGGTCGTAGAATCTCAAACCGGGGAATGAATATGGGTATGGCCCGATTTGAGAAAAACCTCCGTATGCCGGGCTACCAAAACCATCGAGTCGTCCTATAGGAAGTACTTGAGGTGGAAGACCAAATTCGTTCAAAGGAATAGGGGATTGAGTGCTTGGTAACGGCGGAAGTGATGGTGCTGCTGTCTTATCATCTTCGCTAGGAGCAGGACTGCTAGTTTCCGGAGATGGTGCTGGTGGTGTTTCGGTGGAAGAAGGAGCCTGTTCACTGACACTCTCAGGTGCTACTGTTGGGGTAGCTTCTGATGGTTGTGGGTCTCTGGTTTCAACAGGTGGAATAAAACCCTGAAATTATTTTGATGTTATATTAATTTAAGAAAACGAACCCATTCTGTGTTAATCTTAAATCAATCAATGTTCTGATAATCGCAATCAATAGTATTTTATTTGCGAACGCAGTCAGTTAATTCGTATAATAATAATAAGCCCATTTTATTTCCAAAAACAAAGAAAGAAAAAAAACACATTGATAAATAAAAAAATTACAAAATTAAATATAAACTTGTGTTATTGGAACCCCATTCGGGTATAGGCCTCCTCCAGCTTACTCCACTCTTCCCTATCCTTGGCTTTGTTTCTCTATTCTTTTCCAGTTCTTTTCCATTCCAATTCGTATAAAGACTTAAATAAATTGAGTGGAGTTTTATCACAGTTCTGATAGAATACTCACGTTATTTGCTGGGAAGTCACCATAGAAGAGTGCGTCTTGGAACGGAAACGAAAATGCCTGGTGGAGAACTGGCTGATATACAGGGAACGCCTTACTCGGCTCCAAGTTCTGATTTGACGTGATAAGGGCGTTGTACACTTTCGGAAACCTCCCGGGCGCAGGGTCCGCTAATACCCCGACCGCAAATACAGTCAGTAACTGAAATTAAAAAACGCCAGTTATTAGTTTTAGAACGTAATTTATATCACTTTCTACGTGAGCTCTACGTGAGCTCTAGTTGTAGTGTTTTTAAGCAACGAAAAAATAACAGAGGTTACATACATTAGTATGCTATTTGTGCATATTTATAAATTTAAAGATCAGGATTGCTACAAATCAAATATACTACCTACTCTGTCGAGAAAGTACCTGGAAAAGATCAATAATACACAGAATGTTAATGATTTGATTTGATATGAATACAGCTATGCAAGCAAATAATCCAATTATCAAAGCATTTTTAAATCGCTGTTTCCGGAAATGAGTTCAGTTTTAGCTGCGAATTTTCCTACCGAATGAAAACTAATGCTACGAAGTGGCAATTTGAGTACAAGAAAAAAAAAAACAGCTGGAGCCATATCTGGTGAACAAGTGGTTACTCGAAGATATTTGTTGAGTTTCTGCTCAAGAATTCGTTTACAATGATTGCGCCTTGTGCGAAGGTGCATTTTCGTGATCTAAAATCTAAGAATATTCTCTCCACAAATCTGTCCTATTTCAACGAATTTACTCTCTTAAACGCCGCATAACGGTCAAATAATATTATTTATTTACCATTTGACCTTCTGGCAAAAATTCCGAGTGAACAACACCACGATAGTCAAAGAGAACCGTCAACATGACTTTGGCTTTTGACCGACTTTGGCGTGGTTTTTTAGGTTTTGGTTCACTTGGAAGACACCACTCTCGAAACATGTTGACTAGCTTGCATGTCAAGCAAGTAAGCCCACGTCTCGTTATCGGCCGTTAATAATATTGTCATGGAGTTTGGAGTTTGGTTAGAAAAATACCCCGGTCGGCGTATCCTAAAAATATCCTTGGGCCCGCGGTCTGCTCCCAACATCTAAGGATCGTTAAGTCCCACATACCCCGCGTGCCCTCTAGGCGCGAAGACCCCGTAGGAGGTTCGGCCCCCGGGCAGAAAAAGATAGGTTAACGGTACTGTATAACGGTAACCACTCACCATCAGGTGGGTCGTGTGCTCGTCGGCGTAGAAGGTCAATAAAAAAAATTGACTCGTTCTAGCTTGTCCTCAGCGACTCATAAGCGATTGAGTTTTTGGAGAAAACCGAGCGGCAACACTTTTCAAACACAAGTGGTTATTAATACGCTTTTATTATTAGCTTCAGACGTATGTATGTTTGTAACGGAATCTTTGAACATTATTTTGATCTCCTTTAAACGTCGGATTAACTCGAAATTTGGTATACTCATTAAGGACCGACGAGAATTCAATATTAAAAAAAATTAGGAAAAATTGAAATTCAACTAAAATATGAAAAATAAATAATAGTTTAAAAAACGAACAAAATACGCTTTTATAGAAAATCCAACAAAAATTGAAAATAAATTTTTATAAATTTGAATTAAAAGTAGTGTAAGAAAAAAATTACTTTATTGTAAAAAAAGCGTGGGGTACATGGTATCAGTATTTATAAATATGTTATGAACAAATATCAGTAGAAGGGTTGTTTTGATAATATCCTGAAAAGCATTTAAGCTTCTGTAAGCATTTTCAGTGACTCCGAACACGAAATCTCATTGGCGATGCAAAATTTCGATATTTTTGTCCATTATGAAATTCGGATTATACACTAGGTGTGATATTTAATGTAAATAACAGAAGCAATTCAAACTCCCCACCAAAAAGGAAAACAGTTGTGCCAACAACAAGAAAAAAGAAACAAAATATTGAGATTGAAACCATAAACAAATCATCCATTCTCGATACTTTGTTATGAATGTATGTAAAGAGTTAAAATATTATTCCAGTTTCGACTGTTTCTTTGAAATTATAAAGGCTTAGGTTCAAAGACAGTTTGACTTGTTTGTTTTTTGACTCAGGGTTTTGTTGCGACACAGGGAAAACTAAACTATAAGCTTACTTACAAAGACTATTAATTAAGGTTATATAGCTACAGACAATTGTTAATGAGTGCCCTTGATTTGAATCGCTTGAGTAATACACAATTAATTGAAGTTTTAATTACTATTTATGTTACCCTAATTGAATACTGAATGTAAAATATGTAATATGTACTGAATGTAAAAAATGTAATGAATCTAAATAAGTGCTTTGGGTTAACATCATATTATCATTATTTTATTTCAATCTGGAATGTACAGTATGAGGTGTGCATAGAATTAACGTAACGAAATTTTATTTGATTTCTTCTGTAAATTGCTACAGATATGTCAAAGATATCAATCACATTACGCCATTAATAGATTCCAAACAAATAGCTAATCCTTGGCTTTTTCTGAAAAGTAGTCAACGAAAACACATCCCAGTCTATTTAAAATCGAAATTACAATTTTAAGTCCCTACAAGTTCATTCGGTGTCAAAATTTACTTTGGTTTCTTATATTTCCTCTTTTATTGTTATTATAAATTAAGTACATAGTTTTACTGAATAATTTCATTTTAGACTTTTGGTATTTGAAAATCAAAATTTTAGTGCAAGTATTTATAATAATCAAATAGAGATCGTTGAACTAAAAACAGATGAAGTAAAAGATAGCAACAAAAGAAGAAACAGCAATGGATATATGGAGATATAACCAAAGAAGGCTTGACGTCAGGTAGCCTGGTCGTTCGTATAACTTATGTCAAATCCTAAACAGCATGTTAAGAATACAGGTTGCGCCGCCGACCGACATAATCTGGGATAAGGGCACGAAGAAGAAGAAGAAATATATAAATCTAAAATTTTCATAAAATAAGCTGTCGTGAAGTAGTATTAAACATACGATCCCACAGACACAGCCCACTGAGTTTCTCGCCGGATCTTCTCAGTAGTGGGTCGCGTTTCCGATCAGGTGGTAGATTCTGCTAAGCACTGCTCTTGCAACTTGGTGTTCGCAACACTCCGGTTTGAGCCCCGTGAGCTCACCTACATGTTAGGGCGAAGCTGAAATAGCCTCACATGGCTATCAGCAGAGCTAGGAAAAAAGATACGAGAACACAAGTTGTTAGAGAACTCAAGATGTATATGGTATTGTTTATATAAAGATTATTGTTACTTTTCCAGATAAATAAAAATAAAATATATTATTTAAGTATCTGTTTCACTGGTTTGTGCCATAGAACTGCTAAGACCACGAGAGTCGTGCGCTTACCAATCTATCAATTAAATTAAATCAATAAATAATTGTAAACCTATTTAAACTTTTATTATACGAGTAGCCTGTGGAACATAGAGCCTATACTTTTTTCAATACTCAAACTAGTTTTTTGAATTGCATTAAATAACGCAATTAGTGTTTACCTTGAACAGTATTCATTACTTATTCATTTTAATACACATTTCCTTAAGCATAGTGTTTGTCATTACGTATTATAGATAATATGTATTTATTGATTTGCTTTACATGTAGAAATACATCAATGCCGGAAGCGTAAAGTACATGTAATAGATTTTTTTTTCTTTTTTTAAATTTGGTAACAACCTCTAGCTAGTTTTGCCAATTAAATTTATGACTCGAACGAAATGTTTTGCAGATAAAAAAAAATCTATTTTTATCAAATGAGCATTAAATAGATACATTACGTTCTTTGTTCCCAGCTTTGAAATATTAGTTTCATTATATTTGTTGTACTTTATAATCGTTTAATCAACTGAATCCCTTTTATCGTAGACAAAGACCAAAGTTTAATTAACTACCAAACTTTAAGGTATTGTCATTTCTTTCTGTGTACAAAGAAACGAAGATAATTGATATCTTATAACTTTTAAGCTATTGCATAGCTTTTATCGCGGTCCTTGAGCGCGGCGACCAAATCATGAAATTCCGTAACGAAAAAAACCTCACACCCCTCACTCCGCCTACCATGTAGCTCGCGTTCAAAACATTCACACGTTGCGCTTGTGTAGTATTTGTGAATTCGCGCGGTCTAGCTTATGAGTGTGAAGGGGACATTTAAGGTTTTGCTTTTATTAATGTTTAATATAGCGTGGTCTTTTTTATTATTGTTTTAATATTAAATTATCATTGTCTAATTATAATTTATATAAGTTGATAAAAATGCTATGCAATAGCTTTACCGCGGCAGTTCCCGAGTGCCACACGTTTTTTTTTATAGATAAACTAGCTGACCCAGCAGACTTCGTAGTGTCTCAATCTATAAATAAAAGACCTAAACTTTTGTATAAAATAAACCTAAAAAAAACAAAAAGAATCCGTCCGACCGGGGACACATCAAAGGAAAAACAACATTGTTTGTTTTTATATAATCGGAATCATTTGCGGTAGGCAGCGGCTTGGCTCTGCCCCTGGCATTGCTGAAGTCCATGGGCGACGGTAACCACTCACCATCAGGTGGGCTGTATGCTCGTCTGCCTACAAGGGCATTAAAAAAAACATATTTTTTCACCTTTTAAACCAACTCTGGACTTCCACGAATAATTTAAGACCAAAATTAGCCAAATCGGTCCAGCCGTTCGCGAGTTTTAGCGAGACTAAAGAACAGCAATTCATTTTTATATGTATAGGTAGAAAGTAGATAAGAGAACAAGCTCTTAGCCCACTTGATATAAAATGGTTACCGATTGAGATGTGATGTCAACGTCTCATTTAAATTGTATATTTTAAATATATGATTGTTTCACGGCAGAATTCCGCTCATTTGAGCAGAATAGTTGACAGACATTACAATACACTATACCACCAGTAAATACGGATTATTACTCGCAGTATGCTGGTATAATACTCTGAGAACGCTGCTGCCCATTCTTCGGATAACAGAAAGCTCAAGTTAAAACGGTAATTAGTAAAATATCCAAATATCGAAAAATAAGATCTCACTCGTCCGCGACACGAAAATTGTAAAGTATTCAAAACGTAAGAAATAATAAATTAAATACTTAAACTCAAGATTAAACTGTTAAATTAATATCATTTTTACCGATTCGCGACGAAGAAAAATAAGTTGTTATTAC